GTATTATGGTAGTTAAAATAATTTATAGTTGACAAATCTAGAACTGATGGTTCTTTAGTTTAAAATATAGTTTAAGCAAGGAGTATATAAAATCTGTATGGATTTCTGTAAATGGTACCATCTAAAATCTTTTTTTCAGGCTGGGCACGGTGCCTCACGCCTGTAATCCTAGCACTTTGGGAGGCTGAGATGGGAGGATCGCTTGAGCCCAGGAGTTCAAAATCAGCCTGCGCAACATGGTGAAACCCTGTCTCTACAAAAAAATAACAAAAATTAGCGAGGCGTGGTAGTGCGCACATGTAGTCCTAGCTATCCAGGAGGCTGAGGTGGGATGATCACTTGATCCTGGGAGGTTGAGGCTGCAGTGAGTTGTGATTATGCCCCTGTACTTTATCCTGGGTGACAGAGCAAGACCATCTAAAAAAAAAGAAAGAAAGAAAAAAGAAATTTGAAAAATTAAATCCTTTTTCATTTTTTATTAAATTGCAGATTCTGGGATATCCATATTCCATGTAGATATTATTTAATATCTGCCAATCTTTAAATCTCAACTACTTTTGTGTGTTTGTAGGGAACCTTAGTGTTTCCATCAATATGCACAATTCAAGTTCACCATCATTACTGACATTTGGTCTAATAATTAGCAACTGCTAATAGTGGCATATAGACTTAAATACAGGGTACTTTACATGTGACACTTACCTTCTCTTTTAAATTTTTAAAATTATTCTATTTAAAATAATCTAACATTATAAATTTCTATTAGTAAATTATAGGATGATCTGTTTTTTCCTTTGTTGTGCTTTCAGTGGTCACAGAAAATTCTGTAGAACAAATAAAATTATTCTATATAAATTAGACTATAGGTTCAAAGATATTTCCTTCATAAAAGAAAATAAAATTAATGAAATATATTCACATGGCCATGTGCCATGGCTCACGCCTGTAATCTCAGCTCTTTGGGAGGCTGAGGTGGAAGAATCCCTTGAAACCTGGGAGGCAGAGGTTGCAGTGAGCTGAGATCACACCACTGTACTCCAGCCTGGGTGACAGAGCAAGATTCCCTCTCAAAAAAAAAAAAGAATATATAGATGGGGCAGGATTGCATTCACACTTTAGTTCTACAGATGTCAAGCTATTTTTTTTGATATTTTATTTAGTGATACAGTGACTGAAAGATCTTTATAGACATATTGAGTACATTTACAACAATCCCAGGAAGATTTGTTAGCATTTTCTGGGAATGCTTGGAAATGACAAATTAGCATTAGACATTTAAAATCTTCTGATATCATTATTTTAGGTATTTATATTTTGATAGGATATTAAAGATTTTTTTCATGGTAAATTTATGGATATATAAGTAGGTAATTTGGCTTATTTATAGTTTAAGGAAATAAAATTACTACAGTACTCTCTGTAGAGATAGCAAATAGGTACTTCTAAACTATTAGTATTTCCCTTGTATTAAATAATGCTATCATAGTAAAGTATATTCTAAGTACTCTTATTCTTCAACCTACATTTATTTGCAAGCTTAACTTTAACTCAAAATACATATCAAATTTTTGGCTCTCCATAATCAATTTAATAAATTTGAATTTTATTACATGCTGGGCACTGTGATAGGTGTTGGGAGGATCTGAGATGAGAAAGATACTGTCGCTGCTTTCGAGGTGCTCACAGTTCATACCCTCCACTTTACTACTTCACCTGGCATTATTAAGGCACTCAGATCTCTTGCTAATCAGAATGTAACATCTTGATATGAAACATTTTATACATCATCAGAGCCATGTCAGAATAAAAAGTTTTTAAAAAAAAGATTTTATACATCATCATCATTGTCAGAATATCAGTAATACCATTGTAAAGAGTTTTAGGCTGGGTGTGGTGGCTCATACTTGTAATCCCAGCACTTTAGGAGGCCAAAGCAGGAGGATTGCTTGAACCTAAGAATTCGAGACCCAGCCTGGGCAACATGACAAAACCCTGTCTCTACAAATAATTTAAAAAGTAGCCAGGCATGGTGTTGTGTGCCTGTAGCCTCGGCTACTTGGGAAGCTGAGGCAGGAGGATTTCTTGAGCCCCGGAGGTTGAGGCTGCGGTGAGCCATGATTGTGCCACTGCACTGTAGCTTGAGTAACAGAGCTTAAAAAAAAAACAAGAGTTTTATAGTTTTACAAAAATTATCTCATCTGTCTTAAAATGAGTAGAATCTTTGCAATTTGGGGGCCAAACTGAGGTATACTTTAACAAGTAATGTTATTTTTCAATTAAAAGATGCTTACTTTCTACTCTGACAGAGTTAATATTCTCAGTGTCAGAGTTTTGTGCTAATTAACTTTTTCTTTAAGAAGTATAGCCAGGAAATGAGAGGAAATGCAACAATCATGTGTTAGTTGTACAAGGAAAATGTATAGAATATTTAAATTTACATAGGGTATGATATCACAGTTTGGCATACTTGTCCCAGAGCACACACTTATGTATGACTGTTAAATCATTTGGGTTTTATCATCACTACGGTTTTGATAAGGTTTACAAGATAAAAATTTTACCTCAGAGAATAAGGCAAGGTTACATCGTGCATATTAAATTCATAAATATATAACTTGCTTTTGAGTTCATGATTGCTTTTCACCTGTACTTTCCATCTGTCATGAACAGGGATCCCTGAGATGTTCATACTCTGCATTCTCATGTGCATGATCCTTAGATTTAAAAAGGGTGAGTGGGAGAAAGCTGCTTTATGGAAATATAAGTTCACAGCATTCATGTTTTTTGTGTTCCACTGCAAATATTGCATGCTGCATACTTGTATGCTGCATACTTGTATTTCTCTGAAAATGAAGAACAGGCTTACACACAAAAAAAAAATTGTTTCGTTTTTGCCAATAATTGGAACAGATGGAGGAATGTTAGATATAATACCTTTTCTATTTTTTCTAAAATGAATTCTGTAGTATTTTTCAAAAGACAAGAAAAAAATTTATATTTAAACTCAAAGTGGCTACAAATCAGCTCCTAAACTGTCACTGGCATTAGCATATAGATTTTGTAGTTTTTATAAATCTTTTACAATATTTATTTACTAAGAAAACATTGCATTAATGCATGTTACAAAATTGTTAAGTTTTCCTTCAAAGTGGAATGCAGTTTAAAGTGACTGAATTTTCCAATTTCAGCTACTGCATTTGACAAGGATACATACTGGAAAATGGAACTGGTATCATCTAATTTCTTTAGGTTCTTTCACTTATGGTAGTTGGGAAAAAATCTCTCCATGTCAGATTATGTAGATCATAGTCTTGATGACTAATATTAATTACTGTGCTCTTTAGCCTTGACAGCAATGAAGAATTCTGGGTGGATATAGTTCATTGAAATAATTTAGGTGTATATGAAATACCTGTTTTTAATTAGAAAAACAGATCTTTGGCACTTGGCTTTTAATTATCTAAACATTGACATTCTTACATTGTGCTCTTTATCACTGATATGAATGTTGCAATTCCATTAACTGCACATCACAATTTTAGCATATACTTTAAAACAGTGGCATAGTTGGCCGTAAATACAAATTAATTTTAGATTGAAATGTATCTTTGTCTGTCACATGTTACCTATATAAATTAGACTATAGGTTCAAAGATATTTCCTTCATAAAAGAAAAGAAAATGAATAAAATATATTCACATGGCCATGTGCCATGGCTCATAATGTAATTTTTGTGTGTGCATATGATGACAAACCTTTCCAAATTAAGAATAAGATAAAATGATACCTAAAATGTTAGTCATGACATTTCCAACCTTAGCAATTAATGTGCCTCTGAGGTTATGCTGTTAAGGGCTAAAGTAGTAGTATTTTCAATGAGCTATTCTGCTAGTTGCCACACGTGCTGAAAAGATCTATGTAAATCTTTTTTGCTAGGCATAGTAGATAAATAGTTTTGTAATAGGAATTAATTCTGATGCTCTCCAGAGATTTTTAAGCTTACCTATTTTTTGTTAGACTTCAGCCAATAAAATTTACCATTGTTCTTAAATTGGAATATTCCCTGACTAGTCACAATCAACTAGGCCCTTTAAAAAGAGAGAAAATAGACAGCTGTAACCAATTGTTGAGCCATGTAATCAAGTACTTTGAAGGAGAAATCCATCCATTAATCTGTTCTTCCTTTGCTTTTTACTCTGTCATAAAGGATGGGTTTATTTTAGAGCTTATGGTTTTGAACTACCACTTCCAGCTTCTGGAGACACAATGATTGACTTGCTTATCTTCTTCAACCCAGCATATTCCAAATCAAACCTTTTTCATCTTGTTTCTCCTAGATTTTACAACCAATTATAGTGACAATACCAGTTCCATTTTGCCTCCAATTCAGTTGATTATATATTTTTTTCTATTTATTTCTCATTTTATAATTGATATCTGGAATAATCAGCAGCTCTTTTCTCATTTATTTTCTCATATTTTTATTCCAGGATTTGCCTCTGAAGCAGGGAGTGTCTGCATTAAAAATGACCTGTAGTTCTCTGCTTCATAGGTTAGAAACTTATTTTAATATTTTGTGGCTAAGCACAGTCCCACTTTTCAAATTCGATAATGAATTATTTAATTGGCATTGAATGTGGACCACAAGAATATATTTCATATTGGGGTTTTCTTTATTACTTTAAATGATTAAAATTCAATAGAATGTCCAGCTGAGGCAATAAAAGCTTTATTTTTGCTTTACAGCTTAAAACATTAAATTAGATTTTTAAAATCTATTGATTGTAACACAAGTAAAATAATGCTATTTGGGCATTTTTTAAAATTACATTTCTTAGGCCTTATATTGCTTGAAGCATTTATATTCTAAAACATAACCAAATTCCGACTATTCATTTTGGGGAAAAACAATCAGTTCGCAATCACATTTTCAATGGGACTGCTAGCCAGCATAGGTGAAAACATGTATAGTGTATTTACTCTTGAATTGTACACTGCAGATGCTTCTTCAGCTCCCTCCTCTTCCTCCATGGGCGGTGCTTGCAGCTCCTTTACCACCTCTTCCAGCCCTACCATTTATTCTACCTCAGTCACCGACAGCAAGGCTATGCAAGTGGAGAGCTGCTCCTCAGCCTTGGGGGTAAGTAACAGAGGGGTAAGTGAAAAGCAGTTAACCAGTAACACAGTTCAGCAGCATCCATCAACACCGAAGAGGCACACAGTCTTGTACATCTCACCACCACCTGAGGACTTGCTGGATAACAGTCGGATGTCCTGCCAGGATGAGGGGTGTGGATTGGAATCTGAGCAGAGCTGCAGTATGTGGATGGAGGATTCCCCCTCCAACTTCAGTAACATGAGCACCAGTTCCTACAATGATAACACTGAGGTACCTCGTAAATCACGAAAACGAAATCCAAAGCAGAGGCCGGGGGTCAAACGACGAGATTGTGAAGAATCTAATATGGATATATTTGATGCCGACAGTGCCAAAGCACCTCACTATGTGCTTTCTCAGCTTACCACGGACAACAAAGGCAACTCAAAAGCGGGAAATGGGTTGGTATTCACATTTTTTAAAATTCTATCACCATTATGCAAAACAAAAAAAAAATTCCCAATTTTTCTTAATTGCTCCGCTCAAGTTTGCATATAAAGCAACAGTGCTAATTTTATCATTGAAATACATGAACATTTTAACTTAAAATTACCAACTTTTACTAGATAGAAAATAAAATAATCATCTTATTATGGGGGTAGTTAGGTAATAGAAAATGAAAATAATCTGTTTTGAAATAACTTAAATTTCAAATGAATTTATATTTTAAAAGGACTTAAAAATATTTTTACTCATAAAATAACTAGCAATGTAATGACTCTAGCCAAAATAACTCAAATGATCACTAAGAGCTGTGTTCTCTTTCACGTTGTGTCCTCATATAGTTTACATCTTTTTAGAGAATTTTAGACTTAGTTTTTTTCTCTTTGATTGATAAGAGAAAACTAAATTGATAGTTTGATTTTCATCATTTAGATTCATGTAAGCTTTTTTCCTTTGATACTAATGCATTGGATTCAAGATTTTTTTTTTAATCACTAATTTTTTTTTTCTGTGATTCTGGGTTACTTACTTAGAGGGTGATGAAACAGGATCATGGTACATGTTTGAGTTTTCTTTCATCTCTGCCAGTTCATACTACCCACTAATATGGTTCAATAGCTACGTTACAGAAAATTCACTGCTGTAATGCAGACTAGTATGACTTATTTTTAATTCCTTTAGTAATTTTATTGTAATATTTAATTGCTAGACTTTTAAATTCAATTTGTCTATAGTAGATTCAAAATTATTTGTTAAAATTTAACTCACTAGGACCCAGGATCTCCTACAATTTCAGTTTTACACAAAAAGTGGTCAAGATGCTTTAGATTGGTTTACTACTTGATGACATCACTGATCTCTTTTTGGTTAAAAATCCAGTTTAATATTATGGAGAATATTCTTAATGTATATTAAACTTGCCGTTAAGCATTCCCTCAGTACATTTTTAAAAGTAATATCTACCCTTTAAGCAATAATTATTCTACACTGCTTCTTTATCTCCTTTGCGTTGATGTAGTTAAATGAAAATAATATTTAAATGCTTTTTTTTTTTTTTTTTGTGAGACGGAGTTTCGCTCTTGTTACCCAGACTGGAGTGCAATGGCGCAATCTTGGCTCACCGCAACCTCCGCCTCCTGGGTTCAGGCAATTCTCCTGCCTCAGCCTCCTGAGTAGCTGGGATTACAGGCACGTGCCACCATGCCCAGCTAATTTTTTTTGTATTTTTAGTAGAGACGGGGTTTCACCATGTTGACCAGGATGGTCTCGATCTCTTGACCTCGTGATCCACCCGCCTCGGCCTCCCAAAGTGCTGTTAAATGCTTTTTAGTTTTAGAAAGTCCAGATTAGTAAATTACCTAAAAGAAAATAAGATAAACTCTTTCCTAAAATGTTGCCGTTTAATAGAGTCAAGAATTTCAGAACATAATATTTGTGAAAATATTATTTATAAAATAAGACTCTGAAACATAATGAATATAGCACGTAAATAAGTAACTGTGATGGTAGCACGGATCTAAAAGGTTCATGAATATCATTTAATTACATATGTGTGTTTATTTGGGCTTTAGTAGAGAAAGTCTTTGAAGTTCCAGAAGACAGATTTTCATTTTTATATCAAAATCAATGTTGAAGATTCAAATTAACTTATGGCTAGTAAACAGTGATTTGCAGTTGCTAATTAAATAAATATCTTGACCCTTCATCTTTTCTGCTTCTACTTTTGTATGATAGCTGTATCTTAGAAATGATTTGAGGTTACCCAGGGAAAGTATAATGACACTGGTCAAGACAAACTTTCATGAAATAATTCATGGAGCAGAAACTCCATCAAGCAGAAGAAATGTCCAGCTTCTTAGGTAATGAAAAAAATATTTGAAACTAGTATATGAAAATGATGGAAGAAGTTTAAAATTGGAATTTATAAGAACTATGTTGAGGAAAGGATGAAACCATACCTAAATATAGAAAAATAGACCTTAAAAATAACTTTTCAGAGCATCTCAAGCTAAAAGCCTGTGTTCTTCAACAATAAAAAAAATCTTAAAATGTTTTGAGAGATAAGAATATAGCCTTAGATCTGATGTACCATAAAATTACAATTTATATCATACTGAGTATTTAGAAAATGTACTTTCAAATATATTGTATACAGCAGTTTATTGATCTTCAAAATACCACATAGAAATTTGATAGCTTGTGGATGAAAATAGCATTTTTAAGTGACTAAAATGTTAGAGTTTATTAAGAAAATAAAACCTTTTTTTAAAGAAAGCTTAGTATTTTGAATATTCCTAGACATTCTTAAATGTCTCAACTAAATGTCCTAAGAATCACTTGCCCCATGTCTCTTCTAGATATTTCTGCAAGTTAAGATATGATGTCATCTGGATGTGAAACCTGCTTCAGGCTTTTTGTAGTGAAAATTATTTTTTTGACATAGGCCACCAGAAGGATTATGCAGCACAAATAAATTAGAATGTCATTTAAGACTTCTGAATAGAATATTCCATGATGATGGATTTTCCTTTTTACTTGTCATTTAGAAGTAAAATCCCATGTAACTGACTGCTACTTTATTTTTTCTTAAGCCATCATTCCTTAAAAATTAGTAACTACTACTTTTCTAAGCATTAGTTCATGTTTTCATAGTTTTACATGTCTATACATCTCAATATGTATGTATTCCATTTTACATTTAAATTTAGAGCATAAAGATAGTTTTAAGGACTTCTAAAGTAGCATTTTAGAAATTGCTCAATTACATATGATATTCTTTTTTAAGCCATGTGTATACTCACTCATCCAAATGAGATAATTTGTTTTGCTAGACTAGTAATACTCATTTTCATTTATTTGCCCTTATAAATATTAGCTTGACTAGCATAAGTGAGTATAAAAACATGTCTTGCCAAGTTAATCAGTATGCTCTACAAATTTTCCCTAAATTTCAAACTAAAATTTTCCCTTTTCTATTATAAAATTAGTAGATATGAATTACAAATATTTGAAAAATACAAGAAAACGCATCATTTAGTCAGTAAACCTGCTGTTACCATTTTGCAGTATTTTCTTTGTTCCCTTTGTATGTATATTTGGGGAATATTTCTACAGAGTTTCAATACATGAATATTTTTACTTTGATATTAAGATTAGTATAAAACAGAATATCATAGACTTTCATGTATGAGGAATTGCACAGTAGTTAGACAAAAATGTTTGAATCTGTAGCCAGAAGGATGAGAAGAACAACAGGGTTTATTGCCCATTGTTCCAGCTTCAACTTGATAGTTATATTCATAGAATTTATTTTTCCAGTCCCTTTTAAATGACTTGCACAGATAATCTTTGACTGAGTTATGTCAAACTTACATGAATGTTATTTCTTGTCCACTTAGGACTTTTCTCATCTTACTTAGGTCTCAGGTCTTCCTCATCTTAGTATTACAGAAACTAGTTTTTTCCCCTGCTTTCCTTTCTTTGTCCCTTTCTTCTTATTTGCCTACATTAACAAACATATCTTCAGCACCTGTTATGTTTCAGGAACTGTGCAAGGTTCAGGGAATATGAAGAGGATTAAGCACCGTACTTGGCTTGAGAACTTTTCCTCTTATCTATCAGTCTTACTGAATTCCTATGCTAGTTTTTCATTCTTTCTTTCCTCCATTCTTCTGGCCCTTTTCCTAGCAAAGGATTCAACCTACTTTCCGTTTCCATTGAAGATACTACGTTTCGTCACTTTGTTCTTGATGAGTGAGGCAGTAACTTGGTTACAGCTGGAGGGATAAACATCAGAGCCAGGTCTAAGGCTGCTTAGCTCCTCTGTGTTTGAAGTCATAATATCCCTTCTGGGATCTGGTTGTTTTTAGAGGAGATTTTTGTCCACAGTCACCTAGCTCCTGGATCTTCAATGTGAGTCAAAACTTAGGACTAGGAGAGTCACAGAGAAAGCTATGGCCCTGACTTCATTTAAAAACATATATGAATAATTTTTTTTTTTTTGAGACGGAGTTTTGCTCTTGTTGCCCAGGCTGGAGTGTCATGGTGTGATCTTGGCTCACTGCAACCTCCACCTTGTGAGTACAGGTGATTCTCCTGCCTCAGCCTCCCGAGTGGCTGGGATTACAGGCTCCTGGAACCACACCCAGCTAATTTTATGTACGTTTAGTAGAGATGGGGTTTCACCATGTTGGCCAGGGTGATCTCAAACTCTTGACCTCAGGTGATCCACCTGCCTTGGATTCCCAAAGTGCTGAAATTACAGACATGAGCCACCACACCATTGCTCAGAAGGAAAGATAACTAGCAATATTATTTTCTATTTATGTTTATTATATATTTGCAGTGCTTTAACTATTTTACAGATTAAATGTGTTTGCCTGAAGTCATAGCCACCATTTGGGATACTGTTTTTCTTTGAACATATACTCTACGTAGCAAATGCATAATAAATAAATGTTAGAAATATAACATTAAAAAATAAGGGCCAGGCACAGTGGCTCATGCTTGTAATGCAGCACTTTGGGAGGCTGAGGCAGGCAGATCACCTGAGGTCAGGAGTTTGAGACAAGTCTGGACAACATGGTAAAACCCCCGTCTCTAACAAAAACACAAAAATTAGCTGGGCATGGTGGTGTGCACCTGTAATGCCAGGTACTTGGGAGGCTGAGGAGGAGAATCACTTGAACCCAGTGGGTAGAGGTTACTGTGAGCCGAGATTGTACCACTGCACTCCAGCCTGGGTGACAGAGCGAAACTCCATCTCAAAAAAAGTAAAAGGTATAATGCTGGTGCTGTAAAATCCAGATTGTAAAATTTTTATTGAGAGCTTTAATTACTTAACTAATCACAAATAAAAATAATCTGAAAAATCACACTTCTAGAAAAGATTGTTTAGAATAAAGCTAATTTCCCAATAAAAATTGAATCACTAATCTTTTATTATAATTTCTTCACTTTGATTTACTGAAAAGGATACCCAAAAGAATATGCTATATATACCTTCATGTGGTTTGTAGGCCATTTTGTATGGGGGTATGTAGGGGTTTTTTGGGTTTGTTGTTTTTGCTACCCTCTTTTTTTTTTCTTTGCAATTAAAAAATAACAGTAGGTAATCTTATAGCTTTATATAGAATTTGGAATTTATATATGGAATGCATACATGGAATTTTAAAATCTTATTTTGACTGAAGTGCAATGTGAAAGGTCATAGTGACATTAGATATTCTTTGCTGTTATCCTCAGTTTATTGCACTCAATCTTTCTCCCTTCCTCCTATCACTCATATACATTTGTTTTCTTTTCTGTCAAACTTACTTTCTCTTATTTTTGTATCATATAATAAACTTTTAATAAAACTTTTTAAGATACTTTGCTTATGTATCTTCCTTTAGGCAATATTTTGTTTTGCCAGTAAGCTAAATAGTTGTTTTTACTATTATTGCCAGTTCTGTTTCTTCCTTTGTCTTAGATGACTTACTTTTTTATCAAAAAACTCTTTTTGATACTTTTTCCATGTTGTGCTCTGATTTCTCAGAACATTGGAAAGCCAAAAAGGAACTGGAGTAAAGAAGAGCCCTATGTTGTGTGGACAATATCCTGTTAAAAGTGAGGGAAAGGAGCTGAAGATAGTTGTACAACCTGAGACACAGCACCGAGCTCGGTACCTTACTGAGGGCAGCCGCGGCTCAGTAAAAGACAGAACACAGCAAGGCTTTCCTACAGTAAAGGTATTTACTTTATTTGTCATCTGAATTTTAGTTAAAATGTAAAGGGAAATGAGAATATGTCCTGAAAAGTAATGTATTTTCAATCACTAATTTTCTTCCTTCATATTTGATATTTGAATTAGATTCATCCCAAACTTTATATTTAGAAAGAATTTTTTTTTTTTTTTTTTTTAAGACAGACTCACCCTGTTGCCCAGGCTGGGGTGTAGTGTTTACGATCTCAGCTCTCTGCAGCCTCTGTCTCTCAGGTGCAAGCAAGCGATTGTGCCTCAGCTACCAGTATCTGGGAGTGTGCTACCAGGCCCAGATAATTTTTGTATTTTTAGTAGAGGCAGGATTTCACCATGTCGGCCACACTGGTCTCAAAACTCCTGATCTCAAGTGATTCGCTTGACTTGGAGGAAGAAATCTTAAGGTGAATTCAAAGAAATATAGTAGAAATTATTAAGAATTTTAAAAATAAGGTTTTTGAAATGATTATAGTAATCAGGACTGTTGGACTGAGAAAAGACTTGGTTTTAAGTCTTCAGTTTAAGAAATAGAATATCATTTGTATATACCAAAGTACAAAGAAGAAAGAAGAAAATGAGAAAAAAAATGGGATATTAGTTGAGTCTTAATTTTTTTTAAGGTTGAGACTAAAAGTTAAAAGAGACTTAAGCGTTAGCACCTACTATATCTTGTTATAAAGAATATTTGTCTTTGAAGACAAGTCTCAGAAAAATGGGGGAATAGAGAGGACTTAAGTGTCCGTACCCTTTGCAAAATACTAAATAGGGAGGAATTTTGGCTAATCACATGGTAGATTCTTATTAAATACAGTTTGTTTAAATATATTAGCTGAACAGTATTTTAAGTTTGGAGCAGAGTTCGACTGCCTTTCATTTTATACTTGAATGAAATTATGATTGAAACTCTGAATCGGGAAATGTGTCTGCCACCATTTATAAGGTTGGTTAATAGTCACATGTACAATATCATGTCTACCCCTTTTCCTAGCTACTGCCTTAACCCACATCCAATCCTTCAAACCCAGGACAGGTAATAGGCAAGTGAGAAACTTATGTTATGCTTTGTGTAAATATTTGTCTAGCCAGATATTTTGGTAGTTTGCTCATTATGTTTAACTGAATTACCCTGACTTTTAAGTTATGTTTTGTCTAGTTAGAAGTATTGTTAGATTAATTGCTTAACTATGATAGGGAATGAATTGACCTTAAAAGTTTATTTATAGCCGGGCATGGTGGGGCATGCCTGTAATCCCAGCTACTTGGGAGGCTGAGGCAGGAGAATCACTTGAAAACCCGGGTGGCGGAGTTTTTGGTGAGCTGAGATCACACCATTGCACTCCAGCCTGGGCAACAAGAGCAAAACTCCATCTCAAAAAAAAAAAAGTTTGTTTAGTCATTCATTCAACAAATACTGCACTCCTAGACAAGAAAAAAATCTCCTAGTTGGCTGCTGCTACGTTAAAAAACAAAACAAAACAAACAAAACAACCAAACACTGCACTCCTCTATGTGCCAGACACTGTTCATCTAGGTTCTGCTGACCAGCAATTTGACTAGTTTGCTTATTATCCTCATTATACCATTTTACAGAGGTACAACTGTACTGGATAGAAAAGATGTGTAGTTTTTTAAGCACTTGGTATGCTTAAAAATTTTACTGTGTAATTTTCTGTATTCTGTAATTTTCTGTATTCTGTACAGAATTTAGTTTGTAATTTTCTGTATTCTGTATTAGTGGTTTCATTGTTTAACTATAAATCTTACCAAGAATCAGGATCAGAAACACTTGTTCCCAAGTGCTTTTTAAAATATTTATTTTTCAGCATACAAATTATGATTTAATTTATGAAGGCTTGCTAGTGACCTGTAATCATCCATAGATCCTAGTTTGAACTAGCAGCCTCTCAGATCATAATACTTTGGCCCAGGATTTAATGATGTTATATGTATGTATCTAGTCCATGAAAATGAGCTTAATTTTCCTGTTACTCATTTGGCTGCACTTGTCCTTTTCTATTCAAGTAGCTTTAGTTAGAATAAAAATTTGGTATATGTACTCTCATTTCATATTTATGATGATGCCACCAACACAGGTTGTATTTTCATTAGTTATGATGGTAGGTCCTGAGTAACCCAAGTGCTGCCTAAAGTACTGTGTATTCATTCTTATCTGCTTGTACAAATAAATTATAAATGATAATTTATCATCTAACATCTAAGTTTACAATTAAAGTATAGTTATTACAGAATTAAAACTATGACTTCAGGAATTTAGCCAGCTCTTTGGTGAAAATGTTTTACCTCTGTTTTTCTGGAAGACTTAAATGTTTTTAAATGTAATCCAGTTACAAGTAGAGGATTTGGTCTTAAATCTTTGATTTTATAATTAGATTATTTCTAATGCTAATTAGTGTTTCTGCGGCATGTTTTCTGATTTCAGCTGGAAGGCCACAATGAACCTGTAGTGTTGCAAGTGTTTGTGGGCAACGACTCTGGACGAGTGAAACCACATGGATTTTATCAGGCCTGCAGGGTAACTGGACGAAATACAACTCCTTGCAAAGAAGTGGACATTGAAGGCACTACTGTTATAGAAGTCGGCCTTGATCCTAGCAACAACATGACACTGGCGTAAGTACTTAGTAATAATTTTTTCATTATATATTACACTCTTGTGTTAGGCAGGAGAATTGTTCAGTTTCTAATGTATAGAAGATTTTGGGTATTTTATTAAAATGTTTAAAATAATTATGATAAAAAAAGACATTACTTCAGACTGCTAATGGGTTAAAATTAGCTGTTTTACCCTTTGCTAAATAATTCCCATGGTTGGGCCAGGTGCAGTGGCTCATGCCTATAATCCCAGCACTTTGGGAGTCTGAGGTGGGTAGATCCTCTGAGGTCAGAAGTTCAAGAGCAGCCTGGCCAACATGGTGAAACCCCATCTCTACTACAAATACAAAAATTAGCTGGGCATGGTGGCATGTGCCTGTAATCCCAGCTACTCGGGCAGCTGAGGTAGGAGAATTGCTTTGAACCCTGGAGGCGGAGGTTGTGGTGAGCCGAGATCGCGCCATTGCACTCCAGCCTGGGTAACAAGAGTGAAACTCCGTCTCAAATAAATAAATAAATAAATAAATAAATAAATACATACATACATACCAACTTCCTGCCAGGCACAGTGACTCATGCTTGTAATCCCACCACTTTAGGAGGCCAAGGTGGGCAGATCACTTGAGCCAGGAGTTCAAGACCAGCCTGGGCAACATAGGGAGACTCCAGCTCTACTAAAAATACAAAAATTAGCTGGGGTGATGGTGCATGCCTGTAATCCCAGCTACTTAGGAGGCTGAGACATGAGAATTACTTGCACCCAGGAGGCAGAGGTTGCAGTGAGCTGAGATTGCGCCACAGCACTCCAGCCTGGGTGACAGAGCGAGACTCTGACTCACAAAAATAAAATAATAAAATGTAAATAAATAAAAACCAACTTCCCAGAAATAACTACTATTTTAATGTTTATCTTCGTAGTCTTTTTGGAACAAAATTGAGAAAGTACTGTACCCATTGTTTTGTAATCTGCTTTTTACTTAACATATCATGAGCATTTTCACATATCATTCAACATGATAACGTACCTTTTAGTGGCTGTCTAGTATTCCATCCTTCTGGAGGCAGCTACTAATTTTAAAAGTAAAGTCCATTTTCTCTCTTTTCTGAATTAGCTCTGTAAAGAAAGAGATTAAATATATTTTTTTAAAATGGTCCCTGGCTGGGTGTGGTGGTGGCTCATGCCTACAATCCCAGCATTTTGGGAGCTTAAGGCAGGCGAATCACTTGAGGACAGGAGTTCGAGACCATCCTGGCCAACATGGTATAACCCCATCTGTACTAAAAATACAAAAAATTAGCTGGGTATGGTGGCGGGCGCCTATAATCCCAGCTATGGGGGAGGCTGAGGCAGGAGATTCTCTTGAACCCAGGAGACAGAGGTTGCAGTGAGCCGAGATCATGCCACTACACTCCAGCCTGGGTGAGATTCCATCTCAAAAAAAAAAAAGATGTCTTACAAGCCATTACTTATGTTCAGATTTTAAAATAGTGATTTTATTTTTTTTTGTTTCATCTTTATTATTATAAACAAAAGATTGACAGTATAAGGAACAATGAATGTTTAGAATTTACCCTTGGTACTTTTGAACTTGGAATTTTGTGACTTTATTACATATTCATAGAATTAATAGATAACCAAAATTTTTAAAAACACACTTGTTGTTTAAGGACATTATACTAACAAAATGTCCGTTTATATATTTTTTTCTGTATTAGGGTGGACTGTGTAGGGATATTGAAATTGAGGAATGCTGATGTTGAAGCCAGAATAGGAATTGCTGGTTCCAAGAAGAAAAGCACTCGTGCCAGATTGGTTTTTCGAGTTAATATCACGAGGAAAGACGGCTCCACTTTGACTCTGCAAACACCCTCTTCTCCAATTTTGTGTAGTAAGTAAGAAGATGTAGAGATATTAAACATATGGAGTTCCTTTCATTTTCTGTTAATCTTTTAGACATCTCTAAATTTTAGATAATTTCACATACTCCAGCTTGTGATCATGCAAAATTTGAAATATTTTAAAAGCGGTAGTCAGATTTTCTATACTAAACTAGTGGTGAATAATTGGGATACAATTCAAAAGGCATGGAGCATTTTGTAGTTTCCTATTATCATAACATACTGATATAAAAAGTAATTTGGGCCAGGCATGGTGGCTGCCACCTTTAATACCAGAACTTTTGGAGGCCACAGCAGAAGGATCACTTCAGCCCAGGAGTTTAAGACCAGCCTGGGTAATGTAGTGAAAATCCTGTCTCTACAAAATAAAAAAATATATATATTATAATAATTAGTTGGGTGTGATGGCTCGTGCCTGTAGTTTCAGCTACTTGAGAAGATGAGGCAAGAGGATCACTTGAGCCCTAGGGGGTCAAGGCTACAGTGAGCCTTGACCATGCCACTACATTCCAGCCTGGGTGTCAGACTAAGACTGTCTGAAGAAAAAAAAAAGTATTTGAGCAGGTTTCAGAAGTAAATTACAAAGCCAAAGCATTTTCCAGGTATCTTCACTGTGTGGTAAATCGCTATGGTTCTAACTCTGTTTTGTGTTAGAACATGAGGAAGGTAAGCAGAACTTTGCAAATAACAACATGTCAGATGTTTTTATTACTAATTATTAATACTGTAGTATAATGTCAGGGGTGGAAAATGAAATTCTTTTTTTTTTTGAGACGGAGTTTCACTCTTGTTACCCAGGCTGGGGTGCAATGGCGCAATCTCGGCTCACCACAACCTCCACCTCCTGGGTTCAAGCAATTCTCCTGCCTCAGCCTCCCAAGTAGCTGGGACTACAGGTGCGCGCCACCATGCCCAGCTAATTTTTGTATTTTTAGTAGAGAAGGGGTTTCACCTTGTTGATCAGGATGGTCTCGATCTCTTGACCTCATGATTTACCCGCCTCAGCCTCCCAAAGTGCTGGGATTATAGGCATGAGCCACCGCGCCCGACCATAAAATGAAATTCTTATCACTAACCTTGGCATGTACAGAAAATGATGTGTGCATGTTTGTGTGTATAAATTCAATTATGTTGTTATATATGTCTCACCATAATTGTAGTTTCTCTCTAATGATTATTGTTACAAGTAATAAATAGGAAAAATTTTCCTTTCCGCATCTCTCTCTCTCTTTTTTTTCTTTTTTTTTGAGATGGAGTTTTGCTCTTGTTACCCAGGCCATAATACAATGGCACAATCTCGGTTCACTACAGCCTTTACCTCCCGGATTCAAGCTGTTCTTCTGCATCAGCCTCCCAAGTAGCTGGGATTACAGGCATGAACTACAACACCTGGCTAATTTTGTATTTTTAGTAGAGACAGGGTTTCTCCATGTTGGCCAGGCTGGTCTCCTGTCAGGCTCCCACAGTCTCCAACTTCTGACCTCAAGTGATCCGCCCACCTTGGCCTCCCAAAGTGCTGGGATTACAGGCATGAGCCACTGTGCCCGGCCTCTTTTCAAATCTCTTAAGAAGATTTTCATTATGGATTTTTTTTTTTAGCATTGCTTCTTCACAACTTACACCTGAATTCAAAAGAGCAAAAGATAGTCATTATTCCATTCAATTTGACTTCCTTTTGGGTTATTAGGAGTATTATGACTTGCTATTCCTTAGACACTTACAGAGCCTTATTAATTGTTAAATTATTCAGCCTTTGTAAATCATATTTTTTCTTTTAATTCATATCAGAAATTTAGCTCAGCAGGCACCTTAATTTTAAAAAGAAAGCACTAGAAATATCTTTCTGTTCTCAAAAGAACTGTTTGATTTCTCTATTTTTCATTGTTATAAAAACTTTGTTTTTATACTAGTGTTTCCTTAGTATATTACATAGGTAATGTTTACTTATAAAATAGACTGTTTTTAAAGTGCATGGATTCCGTGTTCATTCCATCACATTCAGATAGAGATAGAATAAATAATCTGTAGAGGGTTTATTGAATTGTAAAACTTTTCTTATCAGGGTGCTCAATTTCTGAATTTGTTATAATTCATGATACGCTTCAACTTGAATATTATTAGGATGGATGTCCAGTTTTAGTGGGGCATATGCAGCTATTTTACATGACTAACACCTCCAGTATGATCATAGCTACCCTCTAAAGGCCATAGCCAGCAGATGCTTAGATAGTTCAAATCATACTGCTTTAGCAGGGACTGGGAAATGGTTGCCCACTTTATTTCATTGCTTGCTGCTTTCTTCATTTGTTTATTTTGTTCATTCATATATTTCCTGTTTCATTAAGGTATTGTTAAAGAATGACTATATTTAGCTAAAAATAGTAGAAAATAGAAAAGAAATCGAAAATGTGATTTTTAAAACATTTTTATCTGCAGTTACTATCATTTCTTAATTACCACCATTAATGATAATATTATGTTACATTGCAAAGACTGTATGCTTCCTAGGAAGCTGGTCTGTGTCTGTGGTTTATATGGGAGTTAGTGTCTGAGATAGCTGTGAAAGCTCTAAGAAGCTGCAGCATATAGTGGAAGCCATAGATAACTGATGATAAAAATTCCCATGTTTTGAACTTCTAACTATGTGCCTGGGATTGTATTAACTACTTAGTAAGCATTATATCATTTAACTGTCACCTTAATGGATTCCATCCTATTTTGATGAAACTGAGACTTAAGAGATATTAAATAACTTCCTCAAGATCACATAGCTAATAAATTGGAAGACCAGGATTCAAACAAAGCCTCTGCTTTTAGTCACTGTGCTATATTGGCACTGCAATCACTTAAATTGCAGTATTGAAACTAAGTTTAACTTCTACTTCATACTAGTTATGGTCTTTGAATATTAAACTGTGTTATAGTATGAAATTATTGTTTAGAGAACTGTTTACCTCCAATTTAGAGAGTAGATTTTGATTTCTGCTAGGAGATTTTACTGAATACTTATGTCGTTCCCTCCGTATACTTTTGCAGATGCCATTTATTATGGAGGTGTTGAATGTAGTTTACATCTCTTTAATTTGAGCTGGTGTCTACTATAGAATCTAGGAAGGATTTTATTTTGACTGATTATAACAGTGGATATACTTTTAAAGTTATATTGCTTATAATTTATTAGTAGAGTGTTGTCATATAGGCATTTATTTACTTAATTTAAGTTTAGATATAATCAGATTAATGCTTTCTGTCCCATAAGTGGCAATTTCTTTTTTTCTTTTGTAACAGATTCACTGAGAATATAATTCATATGCCACAAAGTCCAGCTTTTAAAACTTGTACAATTATCCCAGCACTTTGGGAGGCCGAGGCGGGGGAATACGAGGTCGAGAGATCGAGACCATCCTGGTCAACATGGTGAAACCCCGTCTCTACTAAAAATACAAAAATTAGCTGGGCATGGTGGCGCATGCCTATAATCCCAGCTACTCAGGAGGCTGAGGCAGGAGAATTGCCTGAACCCAGGAGGCGGAGGTTGCAGTGAGCCGACATCGCGCCATTGCACTCCAGCCTGGGTAACAAGAGAGAAACTCCGTCTCAAAAAAAAAAAAAAAAAAACCGTGTACAATTAAGTGGTTTTTAGTGCATTCACAAAATTCTACAACCATCAGCATTATCAAATTTTAGAACATTTTTATTACCACCCCAAAAAGAAAGTATATACCCATTAGCAGTCACTCTCCACCCCCCATCACCCTAGTCCCTGGCAACGACTAATGTATAATACTTTCTGTCTCTGTGGACTTACTTATTTTGAACATTTCATATGAAAAGAATCATACAATGTGTGACCTTTTTGCCCAGCTTCTTTCACTTAGCATGTTTTCAAGTTATAAGTATGTTGTAGCATGTATTAGGTTGGCACAAAAGTAATTTCGGTTTCTGCCATTCCATTTACTTGCAAAAACCGCAATTACTTTTGCATCAACCTAATATTTGATTCCTTTTTATGGCTAAATGATACTCCATTGTGTGGTTATATACAACATTTTGTTTGTCCTATCATATATTGATGGACATTTGTGTTATTTCCATCCATTGGCTATTGTGAATAATGCTGCTATGATGTGTACAAGTTTTGGTGTGGACAGGTTTTCAGTTCTCTTGGGTAGATATCTAGGAGTGGAATTCCTGGATCATATAGTAGACAGTTTCTTGTTTAACATTTCTTTGAATTTCTGTCATATAACTCACAGAAGGCAGGTTTTTACTTTTCAACATTTCTCTATACTTCTCCCTGTTTTAACATGATTTTTCTAGAAATATTGAAGGTACATGAGTTGTGTTTTAGCTTTATCATTTTGTATCTGATCCTTAATTGCTTTATTTGACCTATTTTATTTATTTATTTGTTTGTTCATTTATTATTTTTATTATTTTTTGAGACATGGTCTCACTCTGTCACACAGACTGGAGTGCAGTGGCATGATCTTGCTCGCTGCAACGTTCGCCTCCCAGGCTCAAGTGATTCTCATGCCTCAGCCTCTGTAGTAGCTGGGTTTATAAGCGCTTGCCACTACCACCCAGCTGATTTTGTGTTTTTTATAGAGATGGGGTTTCACCATGTTGACCAGGAGGGTCTCGATCTCTCAACCTTGTGATCCACCCGCCTCGGCCTCCCAAAGTGCTGGGATTACAGGCGTGAGCCACTGCACCTGACCTATTTGACCTATTTTTAAAAACAATTTATGACATATTACTAAAAATGTTTATAAGATCAGTCAGCAAATTTTGGCAGGCAGTGAAGTTGTTCAAGGCTGGGCACAGTGGTTCAAACCTGTAATCCCAGCACTTTGGGAAGCCCAATTGAGGTGGAAGAACTGCTTGCAGCCAGGAGTTCAAAACCAGCCTGAGCAACATAGTGAGACCTAGTCTCTACAAAAATGAATGAATGATTTTCTTTTAATTTGAGTCTTGCTCTGTCACCCAT